ACAGTAAAAACTGTAGGAGGTGAGCAGGGCCCAGAAAACACAGGAGAATGAGTGGGTCTGTACTGCCAGGCTGCAGAGTGCCAGGTGGAGCTAGGAGGTGTAATCCTGGCCAGCCAGAATTTGCAAAAGCCCTTGACCCAGATTCGTGACACTACCTTTAAAACCATGTGGCACAAAATGTCTCCTTCATCACAGCGCTGAGCCACAGGTCAGACTGCTGTTGCTGGAGTCTCCTTTTCTGCCCCCCGGCAAGCAGGAGGCTGGCACAGGGTGGAGGTCTGCAGTGTCATTTCCTTGCTTGTGTTTCCCCTCCACTTCCTATTCTAAACTTCCTTAGCACATCATCTGGGTGGTGTAGCCCCTAGTATATTGAAAGGCTGATAACAAGATAGATAACATCTGTTTAGGTCATCTATTAGGTAGGATTAATGCTTCTAAAGACTTAGAAGCTACAGCTTAGTACTCTGCTATCTGGACACATTGGCCCCTTGTAAGTGTGGTGGATGTCAGCTCACGACCCAGCACTTCTACAGCCTGAAAGATAGAAGCAGGACTTCCAAGTGACCATGGCAAAGGAGATGCACCATTCCCTTCACTGATGCAGACCCTCAGCAAAACCCACAGGCGACTGTGTGCTTAGTCTTGTGTGAAGGAGCTCCTGGAGGAAGAAACTCTACAGCACTGGTTTTGCCCAGGGCAGGGGTGCTGCCCCACAGAAAATGGGCACGCTCATCCCAACTTGCAGAGGTGAAAAAGGAGCATACCTGTTTTTGTATTGGGCAGAAATTTTGGCTGCAGGTTTCTTTTTCAGAAAAAAAAAGGAAAAAAATTCTCCCTAACCCACAAAGCTTACCTGTCTCTTCCCCTTCACAAACCACGTGTCTCCCTGGAGCTCTCCCCTGTAGAAAGGCATGGGAGCAGGGTGCCCTGGCCTGTAATATCAGCAGAAAGCCCCACAGCTCCCTCCCTCAGCAGGCACACAGCACCTGCAGACAGGAGCACCCCAGGGCTCTGCGCAGGGGCTCACAGGCATTAGATTCTCCTTATTTGCAGAGGGCCAGCTGGATCTCCTGACCTGTGTAAATGACAAGGCTTTGGAAAGAAGCTCAATAGGCACATTCTGTTCTTCATTTCAGATCCACAGTTCTAAATGAAAAGATATAAAACTTAGAAATCAAAACTCACTTCACTCTTGGAAGTCCCCTGAAAGGGAAAGACACAAGTGACTGATGCAGCAAGTCCCACCAAATTATTTAACTGGTACTGTGGGAGCTGATTAGAATGATTTATTTCCAACTCATAAACCCACATGCTGACTCTTTCTGTCTTGCCAATTAACAGTATTACTTAGAGCTAATAGACTGCTTTCATTTTCAAGGGGCTTAAGGAGACAAAATAATCACCTCAACATGTCTGAAAGGAACAGATGGCAACGAAGTATTAACATTGCAATTTCACAGTTGGAAAAGCTCCTGAGAGAGGGGCCTGCAGCAGTGTCTGGAGGGCACCTTGCCCCACTCCTGAGCTGGAGTTAGGGTTCCTGGCTCTCCTCCCAATATTGTGCTCTAACCCAACCAGACCACACGTAGCATTGTTCAGAAAAAGTAATGTGGTTCTTCTTATTCCATCTTTTACAGGGAGTAACATCCTTCCAGAAGGCCTCTTACCTCAGCATGTCTCCAGAGAGGTCATTGCTGCTTTGGATTTAAAAGACTAAATGTCTATCCAATAATGCAATTAGTCCAGCTTGCCATTATTTCTCTACTAGCTACAAGCAGAGGAGTGATCAGGAAGAAAGACGTTCCCCTGTCTGTACAGGGGTGATGTGTTTTTTCTCCAAAACCCCTTTGGTTACAGTTGGGTCCAGAACAGATGATTGCATTTTCCTCCCTGCTCACTCTGCTCTCAGAGGACCATGGGCACAGAGCAGTGTCACTCCACAGAACCTTTTTAGCTCAGCAGTACAACACAATTTCTTAAGCTGCATCTAGGAGGAAGATAAGCTTAGTCTAGAGCAGGACTTCCCTACTGCAAAACTTGTGTATGAAAGATGAGATCTGTGGCCATCCTTAGCAGAACCAGCTCAGGATCCAGGCAATGAAAAGGTCTCATCCAGCAGCTCTGAGGCCAAAGGCAAGTGGTCTGCAAACACTGCAGATGAAACTGGGGGGGTAAGAGCAAGTCCAAAACACTCCTGTCACAAGCCTGCCAGCTTCAGACAGCCCCTCAGCTGCACACCTCCATCCCTGCTGCTGCCTCCTCACAGGCAGCAGGAACTGGTGGGAAGCTTGTTATGGGGGCATCCCTGTTACCAGGCCTGGAGTGAATTTGTTTAGGTGACCCTCCCACCTGATCCCCAGCCACTGAGCAACCTGCCACAAACACAACTCTAGAAAGCCATTTTTCAGAACAAGTTGACATTTTCAGGAGAAGACCAAATAAATAAATACAATTATTTTAAAACTGATATGACATTGACTCAACAACTTTTTAGATGTTGGTGTTTTGTTTTTTTTTTAAAGAACTGACTTAATAAATAAATTATTTTAAAACTGTTATGACATTGACTCAACAACTTTTTAGATGTTTTTTGTTTTTTTTTTAAAGAACTGACTTAACTATGGAAAGTTGTTATTTAAAACATTGAGATACTATCCTCTGTTTCAGTATTTAATCCCACAGTCAGAGATCATCTCAAATTACAACTGTGCAATGATAATAAAGCCAGTCAGTGTCAAATATCTGGCAGTTTTTTGCCTCTCCTCCAGGAATGGTAACAGCAAATACAGCGATACATCTCCTTTGTTACTGGAGCAAGATAATAATTCAGAGTGAAATGAGTTATTACAACTCTTTCTCAGAGCTATTTCATCAGCATACTGCTATCAGTATCAATTCCCTTCAATCTGTGCTGAACCACTGACCTAAGCATCTCAGCCTATTATCAATCCTACAGCCATCAATCCTTCTAGAGACATTAGTGTCTAGGGATGACACCACATATCCAAAGTCCAGCTCTTACCCCCCCCAGTTCCATCTGCAAGTCTGGTGTAAGTTTTTCTTCTATTTCATTTTTATTTAAAAGTATAATGTAATGGATTTGGATTTTAAAACCAGAGTTGTCGCATTTACAAGGGTAACATTTGAACAGAATGCTAAAATGAAGCATATTTAATATACAACCTGACTGTATTTAGGTTTTTAAAAAATTGCGAAAAAATGCAAAGTGAATCTAAATTGCTTTTTTTTGGAGGCATCCAAGTGAAACAACTTTTTAGTCCATGCAGCTAATATTCAGATGAGTGTTTGTTTTCCCATTAATAAACTCCTTCTATTTCAAGACTCTCCAAAGTGACTCCAATTAGTATCCTGAAGACTCACAATGTCTGTCATGAGCGACCATCCCTTGTCTAGATTAGCAAATCATTGGTGTCCTTTCCCTTGGCTTGTCATTTATTGTTCTTATCCAGGAATTGCAATCAGTGTTCAGCACTGGGATAGCAAAGCCATACCCATGTAATTCACACCCCAGCTCTGTGAAATCTAAGAGCTGTTCCAGCCTTTAGAGTATAGAACAATGAAAGCACTCAAGGGACTTTGCCATATTGTCCCAGTCTTTTCTGCCAACTAACCAAAAAAAAAAGCACAACACCACATATTTCAAGAAAGAATGGATGATTTCATAGCAGCAAGTTCTTTGTCACTGTGAGTGCACCTTTGAGACAGAAGTGAATGCTCCTCATCTCTCTTCAGCCAAAAATATTGCACATTCCTAGTTACCTGCAGAATCATGGACAGTGACCAGAGGCTACATATGACACTGGGAATAAGTCTCAGCTTCCCTGACACAGCTTTAACTTCACACAGGCCCTGCACTCTGGCTGCATTACAGTAGCACAAAAGATTTCTCACTGAGAAATTGTTCCCAAAGCTGTTTGGGGGAGAAGAGAAATCCTCAAGCTGCCCACATGACCAAGGCACTCAGAAAAAAAAAAAATAACCTTAGAGTTGTACTTTGGTGAAGACACAAAGTCTCACTTTTAGCAGATGACTGACGTCAGACCAGACAGGGAACAGAGGAAGAGCAAAGGTTACATGCAAACTGTCACCTGTGAGTTATGCAACAACGAAGCAACCACTGTTCAGGAGGGATGCACACGAAAAGAACTCACTGGAAGTTACTTTTAATACAAGCAAACCAAAACTGCTTGTAAGTTGGAGGGTATGACAGAACGACAGTCTAATCTGGGCAGCTTTTGTTTCATGTCTCTAAACCAAGCATTCTATAAGTAAAATACACCTTACAGGAGTCATCTTTGATACTATTGTACATTCGTGTCAATCACTTGGTAAACATTAGTTCTGGATATTTAGGATGTAAATTCATTGTAACTCCAAACTCATTTGAAAGTTGCAGGAGCATCCTCCAACTGTACATCAGTTTGCAAAGGAAGGGGTTCTGCCTAGCAATACAAAAATGACTTCACAGTTACATAGCAAAAGTTACAATTCTTTGTCCTATAGCATTACACTAGCTTGTCATTTTGTCTACAGTTAAAGTGGGCTTATAGCCAGTATTATTATAAATAAACAGCAAAATAGCTCCCAAAACAGTTTAAGGGAGTAGAACTGAAAGCTAAGAACTTTGATTATATTATTTTTTAACCCTAAATTATTAAAATACAGGAAAAAAAAATAGACATTATTTTAAAAAGACACATAATTTAGAAAAGTCTCATTCCTTCTGATCTGATTTCACACTAACATTGGCGAATGAAATAGTGCTACATTAAATACAGTCAAGAGCATTCAGGTGGTGTGAGTAGGTACAACCTTATGCCCCAGGGTTTTTTCCTTGCTTTGATGGGTATTTGATGGTCCCTGAACTTTCCCCACTTATCCTGAAGTGGATTGTCCACACGACCTGCGTTAACATTTTAGTCTGGGTGGTTCTTGACTATTTCAAAGCAACACAGATGCCCCACACCCTGCAGCTGAGCTCACTCCACTGCAGTACTGGAACGAGCACAACAGCTTGGATATCTCAGCGAGTGCATCATTGTCCTGAATGGCCTTTTTTTACTCGTTTTATCAGGAGCTGGTTCCTCCTTCCTTTTCTCAGCCAGCTGAGCAGGCTCTGTCTGGAATTGTTCTATTTGAATCTCGAGATGTTTTTGAATGGCTAACCCAAGGACTTCTGGATCCACAGACGCCCCGTACACTTCCCACGTCATTCCTTCATCATCCCATCTCACTTCACGCACTGGAGATTTGGAAGCCTCCAAGTCTTGCTCCAGGTTCACCTCTGGGAACATATGTGAGTGGCCTTCTGCTGCGGTCGCTGGGCTTGTTGCCACGGATTTGCACTCCATGGTTGGAAGAGTTTGTACCTGGGCATCTCTACGCTCAAGAGCTGGTTTTAGTCCTTTGGTTAAATCATTCATAGAGGTCATAGTCCACATATCTTTAGTTGTCAGTACCATGTCTGCACCTTGCTGGCTACTGAAGGCAAGGCAGGCAGCCTTTGTCTCTGGAGGAGCGCTCTCCTGCTGAGCGCAGCGTTGAGCATGTTCCAGCTGTTCTCCAGGAATGCTACAACACTTCAGGACTCTCTTAGCATCCAGGCCTGACTCACTTACTGAAGACACCAGCTTAGGATACGTCAGAATGTCTGAAGTAGAAAAGGAGTGAAAATAGCCAGGTGGTGTCTGCTCTTTTCCTGACTCACTAACCGAGCACAGCAGCTGTGGAACGAGCTGTATAGATGGTATGGGCAAAGAGTGGCAATAGGCAGGGATGGTGGCATCTACCTTCATACAAGAGTCCTGCCTCATGTTACAGGGCCCTGCAGAGCTGTTATGGACTGTCATCACCATGGGAGAGTAGGCAGAGTTTGGAATATTTCCATAAGTCAGACCACCACAAATAATCCCAGTGGCTTGACTGAACACGGTCCTGTTTGAGAAACCATTTCCAGGCAGGTGGGGTCCCAGAACAGCAGTGTGAAACGTGCCAGGATCTGTGTAAACAGTAGTGTTACGTGGAATACCACCACTGTCAAAGCTATTTGTGGGTACTTTTTGGTCTCTAGGTAGAACTGGAAAATGAGTCACAAGGTTTTGATAGTGGGGTGTACTTTCATTTGTTTCTGATCCGTACCTCTGTGTTTGGAAAGACATTCTAGCCACTGGTGGATCATGCCTGCAGCTAGAAGAGCTTAGGCTGGAGTGAGTAGCACTGGTTTCTACGTGAGTGATGTGTGTCTGCTGTTTGCAACTGCAAGTTAGGTCTGAGTGGCTTCTCTGGAGGGCAGTTCCTGGTTCTTCCATTTTACACGTGCTCTGCTGGTGGACAATGCGGGCTGAAGAAACGTTCTCAACAGTACTGCTCTTTACACAGATCTTAGTGTCCCCCGTTTCCCAGGATGCTGAGGACTGTCCAGCCATAAGAAAATGGTTTGTAGTCTTAGTTCTGCTCTCTGAATTGTCACTGGCTGTCTGGTCACTTCTGGTTTGGACCACTGATCCAGGTCCTGTCATCCTGGGCTGTGAGAAGGACCACCCAGGGCTCCTGGCATCACTCTTGCTTCCCGGGGTATGGCAGATGGTGCTACTATGGCTTTTCTTCAGCTCCTGTTTGCTGCTTTGCCTCTCCTCTAAACTGGATTGCCTGGTACAGGCCAGATTTGAGGAGCTCTTGGAAAGGGGGTGACTGTTGACATTCAAGAGACCGTCACAGGTAGAACTTAGTGAGTCCTGGTAGGAATGAGTGTGGAGCTGGTGGCTGTCAGCTGACATGACAAAAAACAGATCTGCAAGAAAGGGTGGAGAAGAAAAAGCAACAATTTAAGAAGTAAATACATACTCTGGAAACAACAACCCCTGTTGACTTTCTGCCTGGGATTCTTGCTTTTCACATTTCACAAATAGCTTTACTAAAAGCACCATTCTATAGCCTCTGTGTGCTTAGACTGACCAGTTTCCATTTTCAGTTTCCACAAAGGGTTCTTCCCTCAGTTAGATTCAGGATTTATTGAAATTCTGTTGCCTTTGGGTTTTGTTTGTTTGTTTTTAAAATTTCATAAAACACAAAGGGAAAAAAACTCTTCTTAGTTTTTTTTAACAATAACAGTCTCAACATTGCCAAGTGTCATCTCTCCTAAATTTACTGGAGCCATTTTTGGGACAACCAGAGATGTCATACAAATTAAAACAAAACCAGACAAGATAGCTTTTTCACCACAGTGTTCATTAAGCCAGTGAAGTTAACTGTATTGTCAAAAGAAAGAAAAATTGTGCCATTTTCCCTCATCTGAGATTGTTATTTCAGAAGTTATCCAGTCACTAGAGACCAGTGGCTGCATTTTGCTCCCATGCAAACCTCTCAGTGAGAAGCTCTCAATATGTGATCCTTTTAATACGATATTTATGGGCTCAAAGAATCATCTGCTAACATAAGTGATAAAGAGCACGCCTTCTGCTCCATCCACAGACCAAGAGCTCTGCTGCTGATCCAGAAAGCTATCAGTGCTTACACTTGGAATTCACTTTTGTTGTCAACTTTGGCAAGCTAATAGTTCAGGTGGCAGCTTTCCCATTACCTGACATCCACTTGTGTTGGCTGTTTTCCACAATTAAATTAAGCAAGACAACATTAAAAAATTGCAACCACTTCTTTGATAAGCGTCTCATCCTGGGCTGTGTAGCAGGGACTTGGGATTGACAGTAATATCCTCTAGTATTAGGGGTTTCTCAAATTTGGACTGTATGCAGAAGGAAAAAGGCAGTTTCCCTTCTTTCATACATGCTTGTTGCATTAGAAGTTGAAATGCTGGGGTCTGAACCCCGAGCCCCGAGTTCAGGTTGCCATCTGGGTGATCCCCACAGCCCTTCATCCAGAGGGGTGAGTTTGCCTTAGAGCTGCCCCCCAGGGTGCGGCCGGCCCTGCAGGGAGAGCCAGAAGGGAAATGAGCCCCAGGGGTCCCGCAGGGAGCTGACAAAGGTCAGGGCTCTGCTGGGGGATAAAAGCTGGGACCACTGGCAGGGAGTCAGGAGTGTCTGTCTGTGGAGTGCACTCCCCAGAGCTGCCTGGTTCAGGGCAGACCTCCTGACTCTCCTGGAGCTGGGCCCCAGGCTGTTCAGACCTTTGTGAACGCGGGCGGGTCGGGTGAGAGTCGCCCTGTGGGCACCTTTCTCTGCTGTGTTCAGCTGCTGCTCTGGCTGTTTCCCATGCCCGCTGTGGGCAGCCTCGGGTCTCTGTTTGTACCCCCTGTTGTGGGCCCAGTCACATCTTTTGTGGGATCACTGGGGGGGATGTCAATTATGTCCCAGCTGATTGATCTGTTTGTACCCCCAGTGATCATTCATGGAATGTCCTTCTTGTCTACAATGCAGTCTGTGTATTGGTTCATCTTCCTGCTGGTGGTGGTATCATTTTTGTTGGGCCTGTTCATTGGCAAAACAGAAGTTGAACTCTTTACAGACTCCACGAGCACCAGGCCTCTCTGGCCTATGGGACACCACAGGCTGTTGGCATCTAAAGCCAACACAAAACCATCTTTTCTTCAAGGAATGGAATTTCAGATTCCTGGGTTGGAGGGTTAGAGTGAAGCTGCAGTCAAAAGCAACCACTTCTTCCCCAGGCCAGCAATCAAGGTATTTCTGCATGTTTTTCAAAAACCCTCACAAAAATCTCACTCAACACTTAGAAAAGAAGCAAGAACTGGGAAAGTCAGTTTTAAAACACTTCACTTGTCTCCTCATGCATGTCTATTCTGCAGCCACTTACACATATGGGTATAGTCTGCCACACAGAGTTCAAAGGAGTCAATAGGATTAAACACCAAAGCGTAGCAGTCTGCTGGGTGAAGACCTTGCATTTAATCTCTTTAAAAGATAACACCTGCAAAGGCTCTCACACACACTAGGATGAAATAACATTTACTAATGGAAATCCTCAGTTACAAATATTGAGTCTCAGGTGAAAGGAAGCTTCAAACATATCCTGTTACAGATGGCACGATGCTGTGCAGATTTTTAATAGCTCTCTCACAAAGTTTACAAAGATTCAGATATACATATATATATATACACATACACAGATACAAAGACCACTCTTTGCTTTCTTTATGTAGCATTATGGCAGAACCCTTTGACTGGAAGAAGCAATGCAGTTTGAGGTTGTTTCATCACCTGAATGTGAAGAAACACACTCAGATGAATGAAACAGTCCAAATACATCAACATCACTGGGAACAGCTTCCAGTGCGATGCTCGCAATGAAACCATCAAAGAGAACTCTGAAGAGATTTATTCTTGCCCCACCCACCAACATAAACTCCAACTGCAGCTGAAATCAAGACCAAACACGGGCCAATGCTCCATGTATTACACGTGTATAGATACAACATTATAACCAGGAACTATCAACAGCATTTGAGCCTCTCTGCTCAAATTGACCAATGTTCCATGCCATCGTATTTGTAACAATTACCCTCTGACTTTTGGACCTTGAAACCAATGGGAACACTAACCAGTTCAGTAAAAAAGCATCTGATACTTTAGGATGCAGTTAGGGATGGGGGGAAAACAAGGGTAAAGAGAAAATAAAGCCCCATTCAAATAAGATGAATCAGCTTCCCTTAGAATAATGCACCTTCTTATGTTGAAATTTAAAATCTTCCCAGACAGCCTGAACACTTCCCTGTGTACAGGTCACCTCTTTCTTTCCCTCTCCATTCCCTGCTCCTTTTCCCCACTCTGGAAAGACCTGTGAGGCCATACACAACCAGCACACTTGGCTCACCTGGCAGAGGCAGGGCCCTGAGCCAGCCTTGCACACATAGAGGTTGATGGCTGCAGAACAAATAAATTAACATCTGGTAGATTGGGGCTTTCCTCACCTTTGCTGCAGTCAAAGGTTGCCACAGAATTTCACTAGCGAGCGTGCCAGTGTGTCACAAACTACGTCAGCTTGCTGACCCTCTTTTCAGTTTTTTGGGGGGATTTTTGTTTGTTTGTTTGTTTTTAAAAAACTGGCTTATCTCTCACTACATCAAATCATCAATCCAGCCACACTGATCACTAACACAGCACAGGGAGGAAACAAAAGACCACACCCATCTTCAGAAACACAAACTTATTAGTGGCATAAATCCAGAGCAAACTCATACATGAAGGGCCCTTCTTCCCAAGCCTGGAAATGTAATCCCATACTTGCTTTTCCAAACTCTACCTTTCACACATGTGATAGCCCTGATTGCCCAGGGTACACAAAAATCCCTACAGAAGAAACACAGCCCTGCATGTGAGCACACCAGAGGTGCTGGACTTCCAGACTGCACCCAGCCACTGACTCCTGAGAAGGGGCAGGGAGCTGGAGTGTCTGGATGGCGACACCAGCACATGTACCACAGAGGTACCAAGGACAGTGTGACAAACTTGAAAAAAAACCAAAACAACCACTAAACATGGGGCCTCTCTAATTTCACAGTCATGCAATGCCATTTTATCTTGTGAAACAGCTAATCAAGAATGGATTAGCCATGGCTGTAAACACAGCTGACTTAGTGGGTACTTAGGACCTGAAAGAACCTTTTTTGCACACGTTGGCCAGAGGAGACTTCTTTGCTTACTTCACTTTTTAAATTAAATACATAATCTATAAAAGTATTTTTATTCAAAAATACCTATCACAGATTCTGAGTTGATCTGAGGAATTTCCCTTTGGACATTCAAAAGGAACCTGCAGCTGAATACACAAATGAGAGAGCATGAACTTTGAGGCAGATACTCTGCTACAAATATATACAAAATTGTTAGACAAGCACAGAAAGGATTAGGGTAGAAATGGAATTAACATCCACTATTTTTGGCTTAGCTTCAGATAGCTTATGAGAGGATCTAGGCTGCTTTCACTAATTCCACTGAACTACTTTAAAGCAACAAATGTGTATTTTGCTATAACTTCTAATGAAAGTTGTGACCCATTTAATGCAGGAGTAAATTTACTCTCAGAATATTAAATACCATGTGTGTTATCAGCTGAAAGACATCCACTGGTAAATTAATTATGATTCAAAAATTCTTCATGTTTTTATATTCCATGCATGTACTTTCAATTAGAATTTTGGCAACAAACACAAGTGGATGTAAAGTGGAATCATTTTTCACAATATATAGAGCAAGATTTCATGTCATAGAGTAATACCACAACATATTTCACTATGACCATATTTATCTCCTGCATCATGGATCTGCTAGGCATTGCTTTCTTCCCTGCACTGGCAGGCTTCAAAAGAGTGATATGATAACCAAGACAAAAAGAAGTTTTATTTAAAATTTAATACCATTTACCAGAAAAAAATAACTGCAATGCCAGAGACTTATTTCTCTAATTTTTCCACAGTTTATTTTTGCTTTAGGCAACTGTGATGGTCAATGCACCAACCCATAAGGCCTGTAATAGCAACTGCAGGCTGTTTCACCCTCCTTCACTTTGCTGGCCAGACAACCAAAAAACCTTTTTTTTTTATTTTTAATCAGATATTTAATTTTATTATTTCAAAACCAGCATCTGACTGCAAAAGAAGTGATAACATCAGAGCCAGTTTCAGAGATGAGAACATTAATATGCAAGTGTGGAATCTGGAAGAGTCAGGTGATTTGAGCTGCACCAATATTTTTGGATAATGACTGTTGATTTTGGGTACTGACTAAGACCCTCCATGACAAGTACTGGCACCTTTTGAAAAGACATGCTGTGAGTTCTGGTCTTTGCCCAGAACTCATCATTCTGG